CTGTAGTCTCAAACATGCTTTGTTCAGTCAACTAAAGATATGATTCAAAGAAAAGAAGACAGAGGCTATTTTTAGAACCAATTTTCTGACCTTAAGTATCCTTTATTTTTCCATAATAAGGATTTCAGAATGGCAGATGGTTTCTTCTCTTTGGGTCTCTGGTAAAGTGGAAATGATTTCAAGCCTCCCATGCAACTCAAACATTAAAGGTCTACACTCATCCCAAATGTGGGCCCTATTTTAAGCAGAATGTTTTTTGGAACATTTCAGCCTAGAGAAGAGATTCCTTGCGATGTGATAACTTCCATTGAAACAATTAACGGTTTGATGACCTCCTAAGTTAAAATACTTTCTGATTGTCAGATGTATTAAACTGGTTTGTTGTTAGAATTGGATGCTGTACCACCCTACTTCTAGGCATATGCCTGAAGAGATCAAAGATAGAAATATCTTATATACACTACAATAATCATCCCAGCACTTTTGTGGTAGCAAATAACTGGAGACAAAGTTGATGTCCATCAGTTAGGGAATGGTTAAACAAGCTGTCACCACATGAATGTAATGGAATATTATTGTGCTGAAAGAATATGAAGAATTCAGAGAAGTGTGGGAAGGCTTATATGAGCTGATGCAAGGTAAACAAGCAGAACCAGGAAAAGAGTAAGCATCACAACTAGCATAATAGAAGGGGAGTGAACAACACATTGAAATTCAAGGCTATGTAGTCATAATGCTCAAATTTGTCTCAGAAGAAGAGTTGAAAAAATGTACCTCCCTTGCTTCTTTGTAGAAGTGGATGACTGAGTGTAAAATACTTCATATACTATTAGATGCAGCTGATGTGTTGGTTTTATGAACTCTTTCATTTCTCTCTCTTATTTAAAAAAATCTTTGCTATAAGAGAGCTCTTTGGGTAGGGGAGTAGGGCAAAATAAAGTAGTCAGAAATAAAGGTAATGTAAAAATAAAAGATCAATTAAAATAAGATAAACCAAAAGATCATTTGTTTTAGAAATGCTAAAAATATGTGAAAAGGTCTTTAGTTATTTTTTTCTTTTTATAAATTACTCCAACTTAATTATGTTTACACACTGATAGCTTACACAATCATTAAAGGGAGACCGAGATTAATATTTAAAGTTGTGATCATTGCCGCCATCTTGTTACCTCCCTGAGATGGTGTTGCTTGAAGACTTCTAGTGAAAGCAATCCCACCATCTCCCAAGGCAGGTCATTTTATTTTTGAAGAGCTCTATTTATTAGGAACCTTTTTCTTTATATCAAGCCTAGATCTACATCTCTACAACTTCCATGTATTGTATTCCATGCATAATTGCCTTTGTCCATGGACAAAAATCCATCTTCCATAATTCTGCTACCTATCTGACAAAGGTGTTACAAGAAAACTTTTGAAACTATAATCTTTAATGTAAATGAGAGTCTTAATAATTATTATCACTGACTTGACAAATTCATCCAGAATTCTAAACTCTCATGATCAAAGCTTTAGGCTCAGATGGGACCTTAGATGCCATCCGATTGAATGCCTTCATTTTTCAGATAAGGAAATTGAGACCCAAAGATAGATCACACAGACAGGGGCACAGAACTGGGGACTTCAGCCCAGATCCTTTGATTCTAAATCCAACACTCTCTAACTTGCCCCATATTATAAGTGAGGAATCTGTGACTAGCAGAGAAAGTCTCTCTCCAAGATTCAGAGAATTGAATAAAGATGATGTAAGAAATACCTTCTGATTTAAACTAAATGTGTTTTTTTTAAAATTTCCTGAGTCACCCCACCTACAGTTTTTTTCTAATGCTTGATTCCAGTGATCAGAAACTTATAAAAACAGCAACCCCTTACCAGATTAATGAACTCTTTCTGCTACATGTTTTCTCCATGTTGCTTTAGCTCCTATCTTTAATTATACACAGAGGAGCAAACAGTAGTGTTTAGGGAAAGTTTGCAGGGGTCAAGGAGGATGATATTTGCAAGGATGTAGAACAGGAAACTCACAGAACAGATACTTAAATGAGTCAAAAATTTGGGATTTTATCAGTGTGGGGACCTTCCTCTCATCAACCACTGAAGCAGACTCCAATCCTTCTATTCTTGAGTAGGTGGTCTTCATGACCTGGTCACCATCCCATCCTACCCATTTCCCAACCTTCTGGCACTAAGAATTTCTACAATTAGTGAGGCTTGTCCTTAGAAAGAATATATCTATCACTGAGCCCACATTCTAAGCTTTTCTAGCTTGGTGGGATCTATTCTCCACTGGCATGTTCTATAAAAAAGAACTGATGATTTCTTTCTCCCTGAGATGAGGAATTGGAGGAAGATTCTGACTTTGCATAGGTATGTCTGAATGCAGTCCTCAAGCTGCTGATTTGCTATCACTTTCAATACAAGATCAGTCCATTTCCTATTCTGGTCACACTTGTCATCTATATGAGACTCTTTATGACGTTACTTTAATACAAGTTATCATTAGCAATGTGCCTTGACTGCCCACACCGACCACGCCTTTGTCTTTCTATTGACCCTTGAATCCCTCCAAATTTGACCTTTTCTGATTCTGTCCCATGATTTACAGCAATGGGAAGTGGTTTCAGTGGGTCCTGGATATCAATGATAAGCATGATCCCATGTGGATTGAATGGTGGACACAGTCAACATAATAGATTTGGAGTCAGAATATCTGGGTTCAAATCCTGGTTCTGCCACTTATACTTGTGTGATGTTAGGCAAGTCACTTAACCATTCTGAACTTCAGTTTCATTAACAGTAAAATTAAAGAGCTGCTCTGGATGATCATAATCACGAATTATGAAAAACACCTTATGATTTTTTTCCTCTTTCTAAGTCATGGTGACATAAGGGTCATGCTTGAATTCCCCTGCTTCTTATTCTACCTGGAAGCAACCTCAAGACTTTGGGTTCAGATATTCATACGTGTTGGAACAAAAATGAAAGAAAAGTGGTATATTTTCTTAAACTTCTAGGCCCATTGGAGAAAGCTAGGAAAGAGTGGGAAGCAGAGGGTCTAACAGCTAGCCCTTATATAGTGATTTGCAATTTGCAAAGCACTTTACCTATATCATCTCATTTGATCCTCAAAACAAACCTGTGAGGTAGGAGCTATTTTCATTCCTAATTTTACAGATAAAGAAACTGAGCCTTGGGGCAACTAGGTGGTGCAGTGGATAGAGGATGGGCCCTGGAGTCGGAAAGACCTGAGTTCAGATATGGCCTCAGATATATAACACTCACTAGCTGTGTGACTCTGGGAAAGTCACTTAACCCCAATTTCCTCACCAAAAAAAAGAAAGAAAGAAAGAAAAAAAAGAAACTGAGCCTGAGAGAAGTGACTTGCCCAGGTTCATTAAGCTTGTGTTTAAGGCAGGATTTGAACTCGGGTGTTCCTGACTCTAGGTCCAATACTACATCTACTGCACTAGCTAGATACTTTGGTAAAGCATTTGACAATTGAAGATTAGAGGATACCAGACTGTGAACTCTCCTGGATCTTATCCATTATGCAATGATGAGGATAAGAGGGTCATATCTGTTTCTGAACTCTTATGAGGTGCAGAGATCAATGAGACCCATAGAACAAAGGAACAATTTTCGATTTGAAGCATGACTATAAAATACAAAGGCTTTACTAGGCTCCAGAGAAGGCTTGCTATTTTCCAAGTTTCCATTCCCCTCCCCACCCCAAGCTTTGATAGGAGTACTATTTATTTTCTTCGTCCTATACATAGGCTTTTACTTCTTGGAGCCTTTGGAGTTCATTTACAAGAGGAGTGGGGATGATACAATGATTGGCATCATCTAATGAGCTCACAGTTTCTCCCATTGGTTAGAGATATAATACATCCCTTGGGTGCATACATGATGTGGCCTTTTGTGTTACACCTCTAACACAAGAGTAACAATTACATTCCGTGGTATAGGTAGTGTGCTTTAAAAATTGGGATTTAAAAATCTTTTATCAATATCTTTTGTCTGTATATTTCCTTCATTTCTCAATATTTCTTAGCACCACCCAGAGAGCCATTCCCTATTACAAAGAATAAAAAAGAAAGAAAAAAATCAGATGAGCAAAACTAAAACTAAACAGCACTTATCAGTCAAGTCTCCCAGTACGTCGTCCCCTTTTTCCCTTGATTCTGTAAAGTAGGAAGGTGCGATCTACTATCTCTTCTTCAGGGTCAAGCTTGATCACTATAGTCATACAGGGTTTAGGTTGAAGTGGTTTTGGCTGGAGTCCTTCCATTTACATAATTGTAGTTATGGGGTATGTTATTTTCCAGGTTCTTATTTCTCTTTGCATCAGTTTATAGTCCTTCTGTGACTTTGATTAGACTTTTCAAAGCTTTTATACAGAATTCCAGTTGATTTTCACAATAAAACAGGTGTGTGTGTGCCATTTTACAGATGAGGAAAGTGGGAACTAGGGAGGTTAAGTGGTTTGCCCAACTCCATACGTGCAATAAACTAGATGAGCACCCTTCTTGCTACACTTTATTGGAACCAGGATATTCAAGAAAACAGAGATATTAGTTGAGCAGTATAAGTACACATGTAACTTCTCATATATTTAGAGGCAGATGACATGGTGGAGAGGCAGCCTCAGAGTCAGAAACATGCAGTCTCAAGCCTCATCTCTGATACATCCTGACTTTGTGACTCTGAGAAAGTCAATTAACCTTTTGACTGCCCTGCTGGAGGAGGTCAAAACAAACAAACAACAAACCCCAACTAAAAATGAGACATTGAAGAAGGAACTGTGACGGAAACATTAAAGAAGAGGAAGGCTCTTTGTGTTAAGAGCAGACAATTTACTCAAAGCATTTCTAGAACATTATTGTTAGCAACAGTCATCTAGTGCTCTGGATTCATTCTAATTTTTTCATTTCCTCCCATTCTGATTCAGGATAAGGTAATTCCATGAGTCCTACTTCACCCCCTTCATTTCTCATCTTGTTTCAATGTCCTACCCACAGCTTCCTCATGGCAATCTTCACTTCAGCATTTCTCAAGGAGTAGATAACTGGGTTCAGGAGTGGAGTGATCACTGTGTAGAATATAGCCACCATTTTGTCAACAGTAAATGTGGTAGAAGGCCTCACATAGATGAAGACACAGGGCACAAAGAATAAGACAACCACAGTAATGTGTGAGGCACAGGTGGAGAGGGCCTTTTGGCATCCCTCCTTGCTGTAACCTCTCAAGTGTACCAAGATGACAACATAAGAGGTAAGGAGAACCCCAAAACTGATCAGTGAAAGGCTTCCACCATTAACCACAATGAGCTGGCCTATGAAGTAAGTGTCAGCGCAGGCAAGTTCCAGCAGAGGGAGCAGGTCACAGAAATAATGATCAATCGCATTGGGACCACAGAAGGGTAAACGGAACATGAGGAGAATTTGGGCAATTGAGTGGAGGAAGCCACCCACCCAGGCTCCCCCCAGCAAGAGGCCACGCATCTGCTGATTCATGATTGTCATATAGTGTAGAGGTTTACATATGGCCACACACCTGTCATAGGCCATCACTGTGAGTAAGAAGATCTCAGTACCACCAAAGAAATGAATAAAGAATAGCTGTGTGATACAGCCCTCTAGGGAGATGGTTTTCCTTTCAGTAAGTAAATCCACAATGAACTTGGGGGATGTGGTGGAGGAATAACAGATCTCCACAAAGGAGAGATGACTGAGGAAGAAATACATAGGGGAGCCAAGGCTTTTGCTGGCTTTGATGGTTAACACTATGAGTGAATTCCCCAGCACTGTAGCCACATACATGAACAGAAACACCACAAAACAAACTCTCTGAACTTCTTGTTTGGGAGACAGTCCTAGAAAAATGAATTCTGTCACATTGCTGGTCTGCATCGTGATTTCTGGTCAAGGAGTCAAGAGTTCTTTGAGACTTATTACTCAATAGCCCAAGCCTTAAATCAGAATGGCGGTCAAAGACAATCTCAGCTGTTATATATAGATAGAGTGGTCAACAGGGTAAGCACAAGGGCAAATTCATCAGGTGATAATTAAAAACTGAGCCAACCTAAGGATCATTGATGATATAGGGTTGGATGGAGTACATATTTCAGATCCGAAAGCAGTCTCATTGTTGAGATAGGGGTTGGTCAGGAAGATCCAAGAGAATAAGAAATGAAGAGGAATCAGCCAAAGCTGTAGAACTTGGGAGACTTACTTAATGCACCCCAATCTCTGGCTTTTAACTCTCTTCTCCTGCTCCCTTTGATGGAACTGTGTCCTTGGGTAGCCACAGAGCATGGACAATTTGCTAGGAAAGGATCCTGGGAAATGGTGGAAAAGAAGAAATCCAGTCTTTGAGATTACGTGCCATTGTCATAGAAACAGAGCATTTGGACGTCACCTTAGAGACTAACTAGTTCAATCTCTTATTTTATGACCAACAGAATTGAGGCTTAGAGAATTCAATTCAACAAGTATTCATTAAGGACCTACTATGTACAATACATCATGCTAAGGACTAAAGAGAAAGAAACAAAAGAAACAAAAAGATAGTTCTTGCCCTCAAGGAACTTAAATTCTTCTGGAGGATTTTACACACACACACACACATATATATATATATACATATATACATATATATACCTATATACACATATATACACATACATATATATGTATATGTGTATATATATGCATGTGTGTATGTCTATTTATATATAAACACACATATTCACTTCAATTAACAGGAATTTATTTTCTCTCCCCTTTATTCTCCTCCTCCCTCCATTGAACAATTAAAAAGAAAAGTGAATTCCTTGTAGCAAATTTGCATGGTCAAACATGGCCACATTGGCCACGTCCAAAAATATATGCCTTATTCTGCATCTTGAGTCCATCGCCTCTCTGGCAGGAAGGAGGTAGCAAGCTTCATCATCACTCCTCTGGAATTATGGTTTGATAATTGCATGGATCAGAGTTCTCAAGTCTTTCAAAGTTGTTTTCCATTATGATGTTGTTATTGTGGAATTTGGGGTAAACCACATCCACATAAGACTGCACCCAAAGCAATTCAGTTACCATGCATGCAAGGAGAACCTAGGAAGATGTCACTTTTTCTTGGTCTCCTCAAGGTCATGGAATCCCTAGGCTTTTTTTCAGAGCCAAAACCCCTTCTGCTTTTACAGAGCCAAGTATAGCTCGCAGACAATAATTACATAAACACATATATCAAGAAGTGAATTTTACCAGGAACACATAGCTGGTGAGATTGAATTCTTGGTGAAGTTAAAAAAAAAAAAACCCAAATTCTTAGTAGGTGGTTAATAAATGCTTGGTGATTAATTTACTTCCAGAGCTGAATAGAGATGACCACACAATACAACTATATGCCAATAGATCTTTTTTGAAAACTTTCCCCTAGCTGATTTCTCTGTCAATTTCCAAAGCCCCAGTGAGAAAAGCCTCTTGACTCCTGACCATGCAAAACACCTGAAAAAAGTAAAGTGGTTCAGGCAATGAAGGATTGACCTTAAACCTGGGCATTCAGCTTGCTCCACTTCTCCTAATTAGCTAACCAAGAAGCTGCATGGTCTACCCCACCCCACCCAGCATATCTTCTGACTTCCTGAACATCTGTAAATTAGAGTCATTTTCTTTCTCTTGACAGTCGCTGGGAGTTAATAAGAACTGTTTCTGGTCTCAGCTATGCCTCAGAAGTAAGAAGATTTGCCCACCTCAAAGCTAGTAAGCTTTAGAGTTGTAAGGCACATTACGGAGGAACCTAAGACCCATACAGGTCAGTCAGTAAGTATTTATTAAGCACCTACTAGGTTCCAGGCAGTATGCTAAGTTCTGGGATACAAAGAAAGGCAAAAGGCAGTCTCTGTTTTCAAGGGGTTCATACTCTAATGATTGTAGAGAGAAGCAAGCTACAATGCCGGATGTTGAATACAGGACCTGTGAACTTATAACCAGTGCTATTCTGGAGCTGCCTCTCAGAAGCCCAGAATTAGAGAGTTACAAGGGAGCCCAGTGGCCTTTTAGGCCAGCCTGTATGTGCAGAAGAATCCTTACTAAATGATGCCTGACAAGTCTCTGCCTAGAGACCTACGGTGCTGGAGAACTGCCCTAACTGCCTGCTAAGGTTGACTGTTCTTCTTCTGGATCATTTCAAAGTAGGTATTTCAAACCTGAGATCTGTCAACTTTTAAAAACATTTAGCAACTGTATTTCAATATAATGCAATCCTATATATTTTATTTTAATAATAATCTTAGGTATTTAAAAATATTATTCTGAGAAGTGTTTTATAGACTTCACTAGACTACCCAAGGGGTTCCTCACACACACACCCCTACACACCATGAAGAACCCCTTTTCTACAGTATTTAAGGAGTTTTTCCTTAATTACACTCTCCATCACAGTTGGGCTCTTAACACAAATGAGATCCCATCTATTCCAATGGGAGCCCGGAAAAGCCAAGGGCAAACAAAGAGAAAGAAACGATGAATACGAATGACTCAGAGGACCAAGCACAGGAGGCAGCTCTGAATTCTTAGTCTCTGAATTCTCTACTTTCTCTGAGTCACAGGAATCATGGGTGGAGGAAGGGCAGCTCCAAAATACCTCATCTCACATTTTAGCCTTAAGGAGCTGGCTGGAAATTTGGGAAAAGTAGATGAGGTATCTCAGGCTGAATTTGTGGACCTAATAACATCTGTAAAACCTTTGAATAATCCGAACTGGGAGGGAACATGCAGTCCAACCCACTCATTGCATAGGTTCAATTTAAGTCCATGACCAACTAATGACCTGTTGTGTTCAAGATGCTCCTGTGTTAGGCACCAGGAATAGAAAGCAAGGACAAAACAGTCTCTGCCCTCTGGGAGCTTATACTTTACTGAGAGGAAACTGCCCAGAAAAGTGAAATTCTGAGGTCATAGAAGTAGTAAGTTGCAGAGGCAGGATTCTAACCTGGAACTTCTACCTCAAAATGCAGATGACTTGCTGCTAAGTCACATGATATAACCAATCTTTCATGCAGCAACAATTAAAGGACAGGTCTCAGAAACCTCTTTCCTATGAAATATGCCAATAAACAGGAACTAGGGAAACTAATTTCCCTACTGAGATGTCAGGAAGACTTAAAATTAATTTCATAGAGAACAGGATTTTACGGCTGGCTATTAAGTCATTAATAAGTCAAGAATTAGAAAAAAAGCCTTTAATTAATATCATTGATTATTGTTTCTAGCCAGGGTCATCAAAAGGGAGTTAATCTCTGCACCTTCCTAGAATCAGATGAACTTAACCATCTGTGTTTTTTTCTTTCCTTTTTTAAAATTCTTCCCAGGGAAGTGTGATCTGAGAACACCTGGTCAAGTGCAGTGATGTTCTTAGAGGAAAGATCCTTTTAAAAATCAAATGTTTATTTTTTCAATTATTAAGCTTTTTTCCCCTCTCCCTTTCTGCTCAACTGAAATAAATAAAATAACATAAAAATAAAAAAAATAAATATAGTCAAGTAATACCATTTTTCAGAGGAAGGAAGGGTCTTAAGAAATAGCTGATCCCAGTTAGCTAAAAATCAACCCTCCCCAACCTTCTTAATCACATTACCTTAGAGAGACTCAGTTGAAAATAGGCTTCCTCTTTTTCTTGGTAAGTGGCAGGGAAGTTTTCTATGGTGCTTGAGGGGTGCCAGCTAAATGTAGAATAGTGAGAAAGTCAGTGCCCTTCTCAGTATGTAGATTCAGTCAAGACAATTTCTCCTCTTCTCTGAGATCAAAACTAAATTTCAGTCCATCTTGTTCTGAAACCCACCAGTCAATAGGATGGTTGGGAAAAACTTTCTAAACTGAGAAGCCCAGAGTTTATCTGATGGAAAACTGATTCAGGGAATTGAGGTCCCTGAAGTTTCCCAGTGTCTTCTGTCAGGGGACTTTCCCCGGTAGACTAAATTAAACTCAGAGGTTAAGGAATCTTTGGTCTAATTGATCAAATAAGAAATCCCTGCCTTCTATTGGGCACCATTCCATTCTCATACAAACACAAACACTTGGAGAAAATATAATAGATATTTACCTTTAATCATAAACGAGTGGTGAAAGTACACAATCTTCACTGGACACTCTAAGTGCTCGAGTAGGTGGGGAATGGAGAGAAGGTGCCTTGGAGAGTCTCCATTTCAAGAGTTCTTCTTTAATTACACTCTCCATCACAGTTGGGCTCTTTTTCTTTTTTTTTTTTTTTGTATCATGAACCTCTTATGTAGTCTGCTAAAGCCTATGGACCCTTTCTCAGAATGTTCTTAAGTGAACAAAATACGATTCACAGGATAACAAAGGAAACTGATTACATTGAAATAGTTAGCAAAATATTAAAAAAAAAGTTCATGGACCACAGGTTAAGAACCCCTGGATTAGTCCAACCCAGTGATTTTAAATGGAAACCGGTTTCAATAGTCTCCGCTGTAGAGACTTATAAGACTGGTTAGGACATCTTTACATCTTTAATGGAATTTTGAGATACTCACAGCTTAACTGTCAATTTGGAGAAACTGTGATGGCTTGAAAGAAACCATGACAGAACAGAGAGGAAGGACCAAGAGAATTTATTTGCTGAGAAGAATGAGTTTAACTCTTCTCAAGAATTCTCTTTATGTTTTTTTGCAAGGTAAGGCTTGAAAAGAAATACAATGAGAATTATTGAGAGAACCAAATGTTGGTACCATGTTTCCAGAATTAACAAGTTAATACTTGTAGAGACAGTTAAAGATGACTTTGGCACTCACCACTGGTACATTATAAATAATTATTTGTACTTTTTGTTTGCTACAGTATTAACAAATTGTATAGACAGCAATTTTAATGTTTACTTAAGCCTAGGAAGT